CTTACTTTAAAAGGTTTAATCAATAAAGTAAACCATTCTAAAATGCTGTAATTAATTTTATGATATTCATACCGAAAGGTTATTTATACGTTTCTCGAGTATCCGATTAAAAAGTTGTATGCACTCAACTTTCTAATTGAATAATATTATCAATATAAACGGTGTTTTTAAGGGTGCACTGTTGTTATGAATACGAAATTAGATTCAAAATACGCATTGTATATTATTCATATGCCAATGAGGCACGGTGGTATTATTAGAAACTCACATTTTCCTGATAGAAAATAAGTAAAGAAACTTACGCATTATCATTTTAAAGTAGGTAAAATGTTCAGAACGAAACGAATATTGTAAATTGGTGGAAATGAGATCCGACATACCATTAACGGATGATCACTTCACACAAAAATTTTTGGACATGCATTTACTAACTTCATTATTCACGGTTATTGTAAAAATTGTTTTATAGATTGTGTAGTAAAAATATTAATAACAAAAAAAATACTGAAAAAAAACATTTTGGATAATAGCTTCAGATGTTGAAGCCTTATTAACTGAATAGAAAAATAAAATAATGTATATAATAATAATATTTTACAGTAATAGACAATAAATCGTAGGACGAAAATTATTGCGTAGACCTGTTGTAAAAAATGTATGAACACAAATACTTTAATATACGTATCTGTATATATAAAACAGTAAGCTGATTGACTGCTATCAACGCACAGCTCAAACCATTGGACGGATCTGGCTAAAATTTGGCATACAGATAGCTATTACGATGTATGTTATCTACAAAAAAGTTTTGTAGATAACATATTGAAAAACTATTAGTAAAACATTTATTTTGAACCTTTAGTGCTAAAATTTATCGTGAACAAAGCTTCTGTCGCCAAAAGCTTATCGAATAGGTTATGATAATAATCATTATCTTAAAAACTAAATTAATATGTATAAAATATTATTTCAAAAATCTTAATTAATTTAAATTTCAATAGATTTAACAAAATTTAATCTTGGCAGGTTACATACATTTATATACTTAAACCCGGCAACGACGGGTAATTCAGCTAGTTCATATATATTCAAGCATACATTTTCATTGTTTTATCAAGAAAATACATAAATGATAACGGTTATTTAAATAATTGAAATTTTATTTGGTATGTTTTCTGTATGCTAAAAAAAAATCGTCGACGAGTCATGTTGAAAGCAAATTGACGTTGCCTAAATTTTATTCTACTAAATTTCTGAAAATTCAAACATATATATATTATTATATAATTAAAAAATAACATTATGAAATCGATTTGTAAAATAGAGGTTTATTTGTAAAATTAACAGAAACATTGTCTTACGAAATTTTAAAATTAAATCTATGCGAGAAAATAAACGATTATGCGATTGCATGTAGTATATTTAAAATCTTTAAAGTTTAAACGATAGAAAAATGTACCTCTTCAAAACTTCTGATGGTTTAACACTCGGACTATCGTTTCTTAAATAATAGGAATATTGCCAGAATTTAATTCTTGACAGGAAAAATGTTACCCTCTTCTCTTGATGGTATATTTAACTGTTATTCAGATTAAAATAAAAAACAAATATGTGTAAGCCTGATCAATTATTTTTTTAAAGTTTTATAACCCAAAATTACTTATTGTATAAAAAAATGTTTGAAATATAATATCCAACTTACTCGAGAATAAATCTAACATAGTTTTAGATTTATTTTTTTTTTTTTTTTAGTTTTTCGATTATATTGGAAAACCTATTCTTAAGATTGTATAAAGACATATCTGTACACCCACACAGTTTGGGTATTTTGATTCTATATACACATTTGTAATATAAGTATATATTGTATGTTTCTACATTAAAGATACTACGATGGACTTTTAGTGAAGTTTTTCTTCGCCGAAAGTTGATTACAGGAAAAGAAAAAAAAAATATCGTTTTACAAACAATGTGTTAATGTTTCTCGTTTCACTCGGAGATCAATTTACGAATATACGATTCGAGTTTTTGCCCGTCTGCAAATTTGTTGAAAAAAAAAAAATACCAAGGTGAGACGTTGGACACAAAAAAATCACAAAATACATGAGGAAATAGATTATTAAACGGTTGGACGTGTCGAACCTGACGAGATAACTGCAATCATAGTTGCTATGCAAATTTCACCGCGTACAGTTTGATCCGACGAGCTATTGAGATTATAGTTATTTCAGTATTATGTTGTCGCACAAATCAGAACTACCTGGTCGGCCGGGGTGTAATCGATTGTTCGACGTCGTGACGCAGCCGACGAAAATGAAATCGCTAACGGCAACAGCAGCTTTACGATATTGTAAATCGATCTGTTCCCGTCATGATTGATTTTCCCCCCTCTTTCACTCATTTCATTTCCGAACATTAATTCCGTCTCGGGGATATAACCGTGTGTGTTCAAAACGTTCTGCTCGTCGGTCGGATATTATATGCCATCGACCCAGAGGCATATTTAGAATTCAGACTCTCCAGGTGAACAAATTGATTGATGCCTTTTTTTACTCTTAAACCCTTTTTACTCGTAAGTGATAGTAGGTTTGTTCAACTTCCAAAAAGTCTATAATTGAGAAAATCCAAATTTTCTCGTCAATAAAAAATGTAAAGTATACATTTGATCCCTTTATCGCTTATATTTGATTCCACTGGATTAGAGAACATCTTTACTGGGTGGTGGAGTAAAGTTTACTACACCACTTTATTCGTTCGTTATAAATGTATTTAATTTAAATTTTACTTCTATAAAAATAATTAAACCTCTGAAATCAACGTTATTTTAAGAAATTCAGAACTGGTGATTTCTCCCCTTTGTACCTTCTTCAAAATATGCCTCCAAGAGTTGCACGATTAAAATGCTCCGCATTCAAACTACGAACGTTAAAATAAAATATATTTAATAATAAACTTCAAACGGTGCGTAATCGTTGTATTCGTTCGGGTTAATGTAAGAGAGCGCAGCTATCGTTTACAAATCAACCGTAAATAATTTTGTCTTCCGCCACTTTTGACAGACGCTCTCATGCACACACATACACATATAATATTTGCGTACACACGGGTTTCCTTCAGTTTTTTTCCATTTTCACAAATATCAAAAGACAAATTTGTCAAAAAAAAAAAAAAAACCGTTACTTTTGGAGAACGGTATCGTCACTACGTTGGTACAGTTGTCCTTTTTAACGTTTCGGCACGTACTTTAGCTGTTCCGGTAGTATTTCTGTTCCTAATGCACCTCGTCAGTTAACCACGCCAGCTGCCAATATATTATGTATGTACCTATCTTTAGTACGTCTTCTACATCCTAATTTTATCGTACTGTCGATACACGTCATTCGCACACCAGCAATCCAAAAACAAATAATATTAATAATAATAACAATGATAATGACCCGTCGTGATATCACCCGTGTACGTAAACAATAATCATGGATATATTTATGGGTGGCGAAAGGGTATCATCACCCCGAGTGGCAAATTTTTTTGAATTAAGGGGCAGTAGCATTTTTTATAACCATAATCCACCATTCATTTTCATTTGTCAATCAATAAATTTTAATGTTTTAAGATTTTTCATAGCTACAACACTTCGATCGATTTTTATTTATATGATAATTTTAACATTGTTAACATTAACTTAACAACATTTGACCGCGTAAAATTCATGGATAATAAAAATTATGTTTCTCGAAAAATCGCATAAAACGTGTGCAGGGGTGGCAATACAACTTTACCTGGAGCACCTAAACTCTAAACGCGTTTCTGACGTTTATATGATTTGATTACAATATAATATTGCGTTATGGTGATTGCGGATTGCAAACGGAGACCGTTTTCTGATTCACAAGACCCGACCGATGAAAGTTTCTAATTTTAGGGCCACCCGAACATCTTCCGTCGTCGTCGCCGTTGCCTGTTTACGAGCATCCAAACCTCATTAAGGATACACGTTGGTGCACGTCACGTGCTTGTACCGATTGGCTTTTCTTTTCACTGTTCCGCCTTTCCTCGTCCTCTACTGTGCGCACATTTTACGTAACACATGCGAACGAGATCGAGTGCCTTCACCGGCAGCGAAGTCGACTAGAATAATGATGCGCGATTCCTTTTTTCCAACCGACTCGTGTATGCAAATCGCTTTTTACCACTCCGTCACGTCATGGCGTATTTGTGTATTTGTTTTTACGCGAACTAACAGTTATGCATTATACGTTTATACGCAGAACAGGTATGTAATCGTTTGACGAACAAAACTTGCGCGCTAATTGTTTGCCCAGGAAACCGTCCCGCGTAACAGTTACGGGAGTTCCATTGCATTTTTATTTTGCAAAAAAAAATTTTAAATTTAAAAGTATTATACGAGTACAACTGTGTAAAATAATAGGGTTAAGCCCGGTTGTATAAATTTGCTGTCGTAGTTACAGAGGGTATAATTAATGTAACGCACTCAGTACAATTACTAAATCTTAATATCTAACTCGTTTTACGTTTAATAAAGAGGAGAGCGATTATATTAAATTAAGAGTTTATAATAATATATAAATATACCGTTTTATTGTGCTTTCGGTTATTGCAGTATGTTATATGAACTTATTATTATCTCACTTTGAGTGATCTTTGTTTTTCTACTTACGACTCGTAGTGCAATATTTATTTTACAAACAAACGTAATGTTTATTTAATTCGAACTCTGGATACATCTTATTTTTACAAGATAATTTAAATTTATCGATATTATGATAATTTTATATTAAGCAATAATTATTATTTAAACTACGTTGATAACCACGAAATTTCGTTTTTTTTATGTTCGAAATAAATTATTTTTTTTTAAATTTCTTGTATTAACGTTTAGTAGGTACTTTATATATTGGATTTAGATAAAAAGAAAAAAACAATTTTTTAGAATAGTGATAATTGTAATTTTTTCCTTGCAAAATAACATTAGATCTTACCTAATTTAGGAGCTCCAAAACTGTCTTTGAGCATCGCTCCAGGTGACGGACTAGGAACCATCCTTCGGTTACCTATTAACCCGGCAGCGCCCATGACACCCGCGCAAACAGCGTCGCATCGTTTTGGTCGAGGCTGTTCCACAGGAAGCACTCTTCTTCTTTTTTTAGGTAACTTTGAACGAGCCTAAAATTCAACGAGTCACATTTAAGTGCGTCGTACTTATCAACGCTCTCAAGATTCCACGCGATCAATGAAACATGACGTTATATAATTAAATAAAATGCACGTTTTCAGAATTCAGTAGCATTGCGTTTTAATGTCCATGGTTTTATTTTTTTATTTTTAAGTTCTTAATTCTCATATTAAACGAAAAACTTATTTTAATGTAATACTTGTACGTACGTGCGTAAAACTCAATATTATACATCTAACATTTGTTATGTTGGACTCGGAAAATAACCCGAGTGTTATTTCCGAGTAAAATAAATCATTTGACAATAATATATTAACTCTGTACGAGTTATTGTTTTGAATATAATTTTTTCGGGTCCATCGTATGAAATATACGGCAAACAGAATCGTTTAACGATTTCAAATATTTAGAAAGCAGCCATCATCTAACCTTCTCACCAAGGGGGAGGGGAGGATGAAATGTAAATTGCAAAGGAACCTTTTGCGGGGTGGTTACAATAGTTGCGTCCCGTGGTTAACATTTTTTCCGAATTACAGCCTGAGTATTTTTGAGATGCATACGAATCGTGGCTCGATGTTTTTGGAGTACATAAGAACCGTAGCGCGAGTACATACTAACTAAACATTTTTTTTTCGAATATAGAATCGTGCACTCTAAGCTTCGTTCTTCTTTTCATATTTTTCCTATAGACTCAAAACTATCCGTAGCATCAGTACTACAGGTAGTGGTGGACATAACCGGATTTGACGGATGATCCGGATTATTCAATTCGATTTCGCTGTTCAATAACTGATTTTTATATTCACATAAATTTAATTCCATAACATCATTTTCGAACTTATGTTCATCATATTTTCGACGCGTTTTAACTACCAGTGTTGTTTTGTGCTTAAAAATTAAAAACAATTACATAAGTATTTTAATGACATTGTTGAAATTGGCTTTATTGAAACCTAACTTGAAGTCATGAAAAGTACACTGTAATCCATACAACACAACATTGATTTATTTGATAGATTTTAATTACAATATAATAAAAAAATGTGTTTGAATAAAAATTAAAAATAATTATAAGAGACATAAAAAGCAAATCCTTAAATCCAAATAATCCGGATACTTCGGTCAATCCGGGCAAGAAATTTATTGAAATCCGAATTTGAATATCCTGATATTTAGAAAATTCAAATCTTTACAAGTCATTTTAGTACAGTAAAGTTAGAAAAACGGTGAAATGTTCTTGACGATAATAAAGCGCTGGCTAAGGTGTATTTCGGTATTTATATCATACTGCAGTTATGTTTTATCGGTCAACATTGAAAACTACCTTGAAATAATACAGATCAGCATGCTAAAAACCTGTATTGTATGATCGTTGACCGTCATTATTATCAAACGAGGTACTATTATATTATTTAGGTCTTATAGATATGGTAAATCTCATCGAGCCGCAACTCGTACGTACAAAAAAAAAAAAAAAAAACTTTGATCACGATTCGGATACCAATTTTTGCAGGTATCTTTTGAACGCAACTAGTAATGCTACTATTTTGCAATGCTTATTGTGCGGGTCCACCTTTTACCCGTGGTTGTCCGACGTTGGGCAGTCGAACGAAAAGTCGAACGCGCGTCCTGTAGACCCGTGCAACGATGTTGGCGAGTTAAATATTTTTGTGTGATCATAGAGAAACTAGACGTTTAATATACAATAAGAATTGAAAACAATTTCGTGGGTGGAAACTTCAGGTTCGCGCCAAAACAGTTATACGACCGTGCTGCCGGTCGGACGAGCTGAAAACATTTGTGATAATGTTTGTATAAAACGAAAGAGCTTCTCATACCTGCGTGTGCGAGTAGAACATGGAGAAGTTGGACACGATGACGGGGACGGGAAGCGCGATGGTCAGCACACCGGCCAACGCGCATAGCGCGCCCACGAACATGCCCATGTAGGTCTTCGGAGCCATATCACCGTACCCAACCGTGGTCATGGTAACGATGGCCCACCACAGGCCCTCCGGAATACTTTTGAAGTCATTCTGCGGGTTGGCCTGTTGGATGGGTGAAAACGATTCGTTAGAGCAACAAGACTATAATACGTACAAACAAAATGATACCGTGCGTCATAAGTAACTCGAAATTCGTTCGGTGCCTGTTAAAAAAAAAAAAAAAATGTCCCCTCGAAACCCCGATGCGAAATAAATGAGTTCGTTTGCGCGATACCGGATCAAAATGTGGGTGAAACCAATGGACTGAACGCGGTTTCACCGGTGAATCCCCTCGCTTTCTACACTTCCGCTTGTTACCGGCATTGTTTTTCACGACGAGCCGATCGATTCGATAATATTATTGAAAACATCCGGTCGGCTTCCCTCGGTGAAGATGTTCACGGCCTAAGCCAGTGGTCGGTAACCGGCGACCGCGGGCCACATTTGGTACTTTTATACGGCCCGCGTTAAATTCCAAGACCCGGGAATTTCGTCGAACATCGTGTCAATGTTTTTTTATCGTCAATTGGCCCCGCGAACCCTTATAAATTTGCGCACGCGGCCCAAGGGTCCGGAAAGGTTGCCGACCGCTGGTCCAGGCGGATTCGGATGTTTCGCGGCAATAAGTCGATGGGGTGTACGACCCAACCAGTACAACCATTGGTAAGTGCATCGGGCGAGGACCGCAAGACACTCAAGACGAATTTCCGGTTACGATCTGGCATCGCGCGTCTCGCGTGTTCTTACCTGCAGCCGTTCCGCATAGTACACCAGGCTAGCGAACACGACGATGCCCAGCACCAGGAAGAACACGAGCAGCGTGAGCTCCTTGGCGGAAGCCTTGAACGTGTGTATGAGTATCTTCAGCCCGGGCGAGTGTCTGGTCAGCTTGAACAGCCTCAGGATGCGGATGATCGAGAAGAATTCTAATATCTCCGTATTGTCGAAACGGTGGGCGAGCGTGCTCTGCAGCATGGTGTCCGTGTAGAAGCTCAATGTAGCCACGAAGTCGATGATGTTGACGGGAGACTTGGCGAAGTGCACGAGGTTAGGGGTGACCTGCGAAGGATCACGGTATCATGGCGCCGTAAGCGCTTTGGAAACGTGTAGTGACGCGTCCAAAACGTACGGTTTATAGTTTTGTTCAATCCGAATAATATTAGTTCAGGTCACAGGAAGTACGAGAAAAACTTAAACGCATATTCATGCCGCAACAGAATATAGGTTATCGTTATATTTTGGTGTATGAGAAAATAATTTTAAAACAAAATTTTACTCATGGTTGTTATATTATGGTCAATTATTGCGTAAGAAAATAATATGTACAATTAAGTGAAATGTATATACGACAGGTGACTAACAAATAAAACAATATTTTGTTGTGGTCGTGTGACTCGACCACCGTAGGCAACATTTTGTTATTCGATATAATGTCGTAACGATATAACATATAACGAGCTGTATAAATATTATGTTTGTAGTGAGAATTTCCAAATCTAAAATATAATAATAATACTATTGGTTAGGTGATTTACGATCTGATAGATAACACCGCGACGCGTACGAAAAAATAGTATATAAACTTTAGTTGTCCATAATAGATTATTATTAACTTAAGATGTCGGAGAAGAAAATTAAAAAAACAAAAGCCTGTATATTTTAAAATTTTATTTATAATTAATTTATAATTGTGTAATTTAATTAAATTTTTAATTTCGTATGAAAAATATAATTAAGGTACCATATTGTATGTATTACATTTTGTAAAGTATATTTTATATGCGTATATATTTTGAAGTTTTTAAGTACTAGAAGTTTTTCAGCCCTATTCTTGACGTTTTCCAATCGCGTTATAATAATTATTTCGAATTTATTATGTTTTTATATGGGGCCCATGGGGAGACGTAATTTTTATAACATTGTTCTAATTTTACACGTCCGTTGAACATGACATCCCCACGAAAATAAACACACGGTTTGGTAAAGATATCGATATTGCCCGACTTTTCGATCGAAATACTATTCATTATTATTGTTGCAACGGAAAATATGACCGTGTGGTCAACAACAACCGACTGGACCTGATAGGATGGCGTCGTAGACGTTTGGAAAATAGAGGGTCAGAAAATTTATATTCGCGTGGACAATGGGTACCGCCAGTGGCACCGAGCCTTATTCATATCACCGGGGTAAACCCTATATTAACCCTAACCTACTCACTAAAAACATTGTAATTAAACAGCGATTATTGCATACCTGTGAACTACGAGTGTTCATTATCTAGTAATGACGTGATATTATTGATTATCTTACGGTACTACAATAATACATCCAACACTCATTAAGTCACCCGCTCACGGGTCACTCAAAAAAGTTCTGGGGTATTTACCCCACTTGGTCATACGTGTTCACTAGGTTAGGACGAAGACGATCGAATCGGTCCACACACTGATTTTGATTTTCTGGTTTCGCGATACGACCATTTTATCGATAAAGATGAATTGCAATCGAACAACAGCGAAAACATTATTATTATTATTATTATTGTTGTTGCTGTTGTCGTTAATCACGGTAGCATACCGACCGAATGTGGTTACGCGTTACGATGTGACCGTATACGAGATCTGCATATACATTTGCGGTTTAGACGTTCAACCCCGTTCAAACGGGGCCGACCGAATATTATGTTTGGAAGCCGTTTCCACTATTCGTAATATTCGACCCGTGTTTCAATTATTTAACGTCGTCAAAGGTTTTCGTTGCGCGCGCCCGTTGATATACGTTATTACGCTGTCATGCACTCGTGGACAGATCGTTATCGTTGTCTTTTCTCGGTGCTGCGTTTGATCTAAGAAATTAATTTCTCCGCGGTTCGCTCGCCACTGCCGCTTCACTCGGGGAACGGTATACAAAAAAAAAAAAAAAAAAAATAATAATAATAATAATAATACTGCGAGAATCGTAAAACAGTGGACGTTGAAAGGAGACGGCGTTTATTATGCCGTAAAAATATAAATGGACCTCCAAAAATTAGCCGTACGAGAAGGTGGCGCGACGTTGTCTGTGAGCGACCGCGTGCGTCGGACGTTTGCTGAAGGACGAGTTATTGTCAACCACGTACCTGCGCATGCGGCTGTTGAGGTATTGGTTATCCTATTTCCTACCGTGATTCATCCGTCCTTTGGCCTCGGAACCCCGGTCGAAAACACGCAGGGCCACTACCATCGGTACGAACACCGTCTACGGTCCTCTCCGTTTACCCCAAAACGCATGTTTTCTCCCACGAACACTTTATGGTGACCCTTTTTTGTTATATTTTTTCTTTTTTTTTTCAATTGAATATTCGCGTCCAACACTTATAGTTAGAAATATTTATGTATAGAAAATAAATCGAACGTTTAATCCAGTCTTAGAAATAAATAACTTTACATTTCGTAGCCACAGGTTACATTACGCATTCATAATTATCATTGACGCTCCACACTTGTAATCTTACAACTATGGTGTACGAATATTTATAGACACGTTTTATTAATCGTTCATTTTATTTAATTATGATATCAATTAAAAAATATGGTACTCATCCAATATGCTATCCACCGTAAATATTTTATCTACCGTAATTTGATGATAGTTTAACATGATACCTACCATAGGTTCGTATGCTGTATATCATATATGTTACGGGCAAAGTATACAATTTGGGCAATATAGATAACGGATGAAATGATTTAATGATATATGATAAATCGTAAAACATAGTTAAAATAAAGTCAAATTATTATTTGTAACTAGTTTGTTTGTTCTTATCGTATTTTTACAATGGGGATGTCTGCTTATCCAAATTATACGTGTATACGTGACATAATATATTATTACTATATTAACTGATTTATAAGTTATATTATATGTAGTTGTAGTGATTATTGTGCATTCGGCCTTTTACCTATTCTCAAAAATGAACTATTTAGAAACCGCGAATCGTTTATATAGTGCAGGTTAATTCATTCAGTGCGTATCTTACTACTTATTCAAATATAGAAAATTTTAATGAAGATTTCAACAATTTGTTGAAAAAAAAAAGTTCAAATACTTCATTTTTTACCAAGTTAAAATATGATCAATTAATTTTACATATAAATCAATTAAAAAACAATTTAAAGAAAAAGGAACCGAATGATTATAAACTTTTAAAAAAATATAATATGTTAAAAGTTTCTGATGTTAATAAGTTAACTGTACCAGTATCTGAAAACAACGAAATTAAATATTATGTATATAATGAAGAGTTATTTGATGTTATACATAATGTTCATTTATCGATTGGACATGGTGGACGATACAAGATGGAACACGAGGTAAATACAAAATATAAAAATATCACCAGAAATATGATTATGCTAAAAATGTTTAAGCATACGATGTTTATTACCAATCGACCAAACATTTATAAAAATTAAAAACAAAACAATTTGTGGTGGTGAGTTGAAAAAAGTTCTTAAAAAAAATTATTCCTCGGAGTGATCAAACGCATACACGGTAGTTAAAATATTTACGGTAGATAGCATCTAAACCATCAAATGTCCGGTAAATAGCATATTGGACGAGTACCAAAAATATTAAAACGACAAACAGATTTAAATTGTTAAATAACTAATCGAGTAATTGCTAAAATATTTATTCGTTAACAAGAAAAAAAAATAAAAAGTAACAGGCACCTTTCTTTTCCTGCATAATCTTACGAATATTTTTTAATTAAAATATTTGTAAATCGAAAGGCAATTGCTTCATTTAAATAATTAATTTAAAAATGTTCATTTCCTTAAAATTAAAATTATCAAGTTCTTCCAATATTTCACCATACGTGTCCCACAGTTCATCAATATCATAACCTCCATCACTTTCAAACTCATCTTCTGAGTCCTATGATTTTTCAAATAAATGCGTGATTTCATTGTCAACTATTTTTTACTCATTATAATTAAAAGAAAAAATATATAGATAAAGTTTAGAAAAATCAAACGATTAATGAAATAAATACAATTTGTCGATAACGATGAAACTCAGCAACCCGGTTGCCGTATCGGTATTGCATGATGTAACCTGTGGGTTACAAACGAAAAAATGGTATTTTTCGTAATTAACTGTCTATAGGGAATCAATATTATAATTATCAGACACTTTTTACATGTTTACCTAAAATTAGAATTATTTTCTAACTGTCAAATCGTTTTATGATTCAGAATAGAATAAAAAACGATCGATTTCAAGATTGTGGACGATTAATTAATAATTTTCCGCCATATTTCATACGAATTGACTATTCATAGGCATACTAAAAAAATAGTTAATACTAAAAATAATTGTGAACTGTTGTATTATAAATATAATAGACATAACGGTACCCAATCGGTTGTCCGTAATGCATAAATGTGTAATAGATAAAGTAAATTTGATTAAGTCCGACAGTCAACTTCATACGCACTCGTACTATGACCAACTAAAATTCACAGAATTCGTTTGCATTTCGTGGAATATCTTTTAGGAAACGATCACTAGGTTTATTACGTATTAACCGGATTATTATATTATTTACTACTCGCATGCAATATTGATATCGTGAAATACGTATGTGGCTTTCGACTGTAAGTACAATCCTTCACCCAATCAGAATCTAATACGAAATACGTAAACTCGGTTACTACGGGTCGAATAGGTTTACCGATCGATTACCGGTGGCGATAAAGCTGCTATGACTTACGTTATTACTATACGTTTAGTCGTTGTATACGATCAATATTATAGCGAACTTTGACGGATTTAATCGAAACTGACCAATATTAGTTCAGCCGTACGTTGACATCGAATAAAGCTGATCCAATCGGTGAGATTAGACGGAGATGAATCGCGTTAGGGTCCTAATAGGACCCAACACGCATGGGTTGCCTTTGCCTTACAAACGTACAAAGTAGCACATCTGCTTGCAGTGGAAACATTTTTTTTTTTTTTTTTTTTTTTTTTGTGTCATTTTACCTATTATGTAAAACTGAGCTATTATCGAAAAGAATTAGGAAATCAGGGAATTGGGGAAAAATGTTATCTATTCAATGACTTAATTACGATTAATTATGATTTTTCAAATTTTCAACGAGTTATGTTTATGTAAAATATCACAGTTAAAAAATACACTTTCAGCTCGATAAAAAAAAATCGTAAGAAACCTACGCCAAACCCATGTTCTTCTGTTTTAGTCTGATAACAAATCAGTTTACACATGCGGACGGTATGCCGTCTTCTGAAACCTTCGAAATCTAACAGCAGTACTCACGATGGACCTGGCGAGCAATTCGAATGTGAACCAGACGTTACATACGAGTTCCACGTAGAAAAACGCCTCGTGGGGATCGGTCCGGTCCTTGCTGAGCACCCACTCTAGAGGAGGATCCAAGCCCGGAGCTGGTGGCCGGTCCTTGGGCACGGTGACGTTCCGTAGCGTGGCCACTCGTAGGTCGGGATGAGTCTTCAACGCAAACGACAACACGGACACACATATAAAAAACACCGATACGACAGCCACCACCTGAAAAAAAAAACAGCTTGCAATATTATTATACGATCGTAATACTATTATTATTAATGTTAGTTAAGTTGTTTCAGAAACCCGCGCTTTTCACCGCTCTCGTTCGTTGGCCGAATAATAATATCTTACTTCATAACAATGATGTTCAATACGGAAACCATTACGGAATTGTCGTTTTCCAACGAACGAAGCAACGAAACCGATCTTGTTATAAAACTACGATGTAAGTTTTAATCGTTTTTTTGTGAAATTAATTGTTCGTACAACACAATCGATCGTCATCAACTGTTAAAGGTATATGTCTTTTCGAGCATGAACACAAGTCGTTCGGGTCTCCGTTCTGCCTTGGGACGTACGAATCGTCGGAAAGCTTCATACAGGTACAATTCTTTGCTTAGTTCGCATAGCTCCCCCTCACTTAATATGTACATATCCCTTCCAAGTATGAGCCACAGAATTGTTTATGTTTTCTATCCTTATGTATTGAAATAAAATGAAAACTATAGATTTAAATATATATCTAAACGTCTTCATTTATTGTTAATGTACATTTTAACTCAAATCAAATAGATAATGTAATGGTATCAGGGGAACCATTTCTCCGTGAAATCGTTTTGGAAAACGATGAGCGCTAGTTATGCAAAAATCTGAACCCATATTGTGAGTTTAGTGACAGATTGTTACTGCAATGGAACCGGTAAAACGATGGTGTGAATGCCGGTCAGTATATTGTATTCAGTAGCATATTTGATTTCTTCTTCCCCCCTCTATAAACGGATACGTTTGTGTAGGAATTCGCTCTATATTTACTGAAATAAGAATACATATAAGATCTAAACATCTTAAGGAAGTTTTCAACAGTTATATAATATAAAGTTAAAAAATAAATAAACATATATGTACATCGGATGCAATCAGGGACTAAAACCTTAATAAATTGTACTGTTCCAGTTCTGGTTCGTTTCCTAGAAAAAAAAATCGGTTCCGCTTTTGATGTCAATTTTAAAATAACTAAAATTTGGGTTTCGGTTTCTTTTCGGTTTAAAAAAAAAAAACTAAAATTTCGGTTTCAGTTTATTTTGGGTTCTTAAAAAATGAAAAATTAGTTTCAAGTTTGGTATTATATTAATGTGAGAAAAATTTGGTTCTGTTTCAATTTTTTTAAAAATATTACTAGTGTTAATTAGCGTCAATTATAGCAGTTAATACCAACTTTCAACCAGATATCCTACCATCATTTAAATGGACTTAGGACTAATTAAGTAAAAGTGTACTTATCACCGTCTCGACTATCCTGTTTTAAATGTCGTTTCATGTTTTTTTATAACATTGCTATGAGAATTACCACTTGTTATTATATATTATTATTATTATTATTATTATATTATATTATCTTATTCAGTATTGACATTTTTAAAATATAGCTCAGGTATGTTGTACATCAGATAACGATAGTCACAATCATAACATGCCTACAAAAGTTATTTATAGACATAATTTTAGAATTTCTCGTTATTATGGGAATTGGAAAACCCATACGCAGTAAATAATGACTAATTTTGTTGTAATTCCTATTACAGTATTACATTATTATCAGTTGTTACATAAAACTATTGTATATTTTTATAGTTTAATGGCACATCTAAACTCTGTTAGTACTTGCATGATTATTTTTGAATACTATTAATCCCGATAGTAATAATAATAGATCTACGTATTTGTGTAGTTCTTCCAATTAATGACAGATATAAATAAAAATTATGCAATTATAACAATACCGAAATTAATAGTAAAAAACCTTTACAAAAAATTATCGGTTCCAGTGAGATTCCGCTTTTTAAATAAATACAAATAAAGGTTCCGGTGGGGTTCCGATTTTAAAATTAATTTAAATTAGGGTTTCGGTGTGGTCCCGGTTCTCAATATTCAAAGAGTTCCGATTCCAAAACCGGTTTTTTTAGGTACGGTTCCAGTCCCTGGATGCAATACATGTTGTTTTAATTCCTGGAGCACATCTAGGATTTTAGGGGTTAAATAAATATAGCTCCTACCCCTATCGAGCGGGATATTATTCGTCCACCTTCCCTACCTCATATTAGAGTTAGGACAGCGGTGGTCACCGGTCGTATGCGAACGTATTCTAGACCCGCAAAAACGAAATCCTCAGTCGCGCTCGCGTTCGTACGTGGCGAAAAAGTACGCCGGTAACGTCTAGATGAACGAACGCGTTCCCTTTGGCGGACAAGACTCCGTGGTTGGACGAGCAAATCGAAAGGGAAAAATCGAGAGCCACACTTTCGCCGATCAGCCGCATCCTAAATCCCTTCCCGGTCCGGGGCCAACGGTCGTGCGGGGATTTACACGCGGGTCCGATCAAATGAGCCTGCCGGACGCGACCACCATCCCTGTGACCCGAGGTAAAGTTAACCGCCGACAACGAAAACGTTTTGCGGCGAGTTGGCGAACACGCGTTTCGTGTCCATCCGACCGGAATAATTGTGTCGGTACACGGTTTTACTGCCCAAGACCGCGCGCAATGCTTACGCAGGTACACAACTGGACGTCCGTTCCGTTTTGGAAAATGCGGTTTTGTGAACCAAATCCACGCATCGGCGGCCGACCGTCGAGACCGTAATCCTATATCCATTTATGCAAAGCTCATACCAAATGCGTCCATAGTCGTGCGAGCGCAAAAGACGCCTTTGCGGTGCTCAAACAGCGAACCGATGTGCGTGGATCGGAACATAAGCAATACCGTTTTAATTAGATCTACGCGTTGACGACTCTATTAAGTTTTTACATCTGTTTACAACTACTGTTGCCAACAGGCTCAACAAAACGTGTTCCAAAAGCGTAATGTTCCGTTTTATTTTTACTAATCCTTTCACACGCCGTATTAATTATTCTAATTCGTCTCGAGGATATTAATCGTGCTCATAACTGGCAAGCGCGTATTTATATCCGCGCGGGAAATCGAAGTTTCATAAATAATTACCACTATTAGGAGGTGTAGTGCCGTACTAATAACAGTTCATAATTATATTTATCGATGTAAGTTAATTCTAACGTTTAATTGCTATTGGTATATTTATTTTAACGATACTTTTATGTGCAGTTAATTAGAGCATTTCCATAACAACTGAGTTCAATCCGATTTGTTAATTATGCCGATGAAATACTCTAGATCAACTGTCTTAATTGAATTTTAATATTCTACCGTTTTTTGTTTACGCCAATATAGTAGGTAATTGCTATAATTTTTAATGGATGGTATAGAAGTTAATCATTGAACGGCACTACGATAACATACCATTTATACACCTATAGAAGACGTAACGAGGGTAATGTAATCATGTTGACGAATATTTTCCATAACGAATAAAAACAAAAATAAAACTAATAAAGTGTTGCACCATTGTAGCCAAGCAAAACCGATGATTTAAATTCGAAGTATATTATAATATACTAATACATTACTTGCATTAATACAAGTTCACCGACCGTGGTCTTGTTTTGGTTAGGGATTAGCCCTAACCGTTGGCGCCGGAGTTTTTATTTATTTTAATTTTTAACGAAAATGTTGTTGAAAAACGTATTTATTATTAAACCACATAAAATAAATGATTAATAATTGTGTATTTTTAAATAAGTTTTTTCTTTTTCTTTTATCGAGGAAATTATAGCAATGAATCTATATAAACTATGATGTAAATAGTGATTTAAGTTATATACACATATGTTAATTAAGAAGTCAGTAGAATTCGTACAACTACGAAATAATACGAATAATAGCTATGGAACGGTAATGAGAAAGAAAATTTGAAATAAGAGTGAGATAACCTAGGGAAAATAGAAATAAAAAAATAAGTTGTTTGCTGGGGAGTAGAAAAGAATAATTGAAAAATAAATTATTCAAATTGCAAAATGTATTCTGGCGTGGTTGGGTACATAATGGAAAATAATTAAAGAAATATTGAAAAAAACGACAAATAATTAAATTATTATTTCAGTTATTTCAGTTATTCATTGGTAAACACTTAAAAATATAGGATTTTCTTATAAATATGTGAAATACACACGAAATATACTTACTCGTAAAGTGATCAAGCATTATTAATGAAAATTATTAAAATAATATTATAAAAAGATACAATAACTTAAATGTATATGACCGAAATATGTATCTTGGTTTGTTATAAAATAGAGGCACAAAATAAGTTAGACTAGTCCTGTATTTTATCTATTCTATTTACAAATCAGATTGTTCGAGTATTAATTATAATGATGAGATTTGTATTTATTTAGTATGTTGCATGTATATTTTTAAGCACAAATAGTTACCTATTTTGAGATAACATAGTTATTTGTAATTTATATGATAAATAATTCTTGAAGTATAAACATGAAGTGTTATTTTCGGTGTAAACGGAAAACACTCATTTGAAATAATAAATTTGATATTTTATTTGTTGTTATGCAATTATAAAACATTCAATGATAAAAATGCAAAACGTTTTGTTGAGATACAGTATACAAAAAAAAAGTCTAAGAGTATAATTTAAATAGATTAAGCCCGACTATCTATTAGACTTTTGGTGGGAATTAAGGACAAAATTGCTTTTAGCCATTATACTGTAATTAGTTTTATCTCAAAAATTATAATTACATATACTTGGCAATAAAACGAAAACATTCATAAAAACATAATTCGGCACCGTCCAAATAAATTCAAATAAATTAAAAATTATTACAACAATTAAAATTAATAAAAAAAAGTGTCTGTTATTTGTCGACATTCGATTGAATTTAGAAAATCGTTAAATTCACTTCCAGTTAATATATTTTATTATATTGATTTATTAAATTTATTATTTATAATATAATACTACCTTATACAACTTTAGTATCTGAAATTTGTAATCATTTCGCAACATGCCATATTTATATTAACTTTTTGATCATATAATACTAGATGAATCTTTACACACCGGGTGAAGGTT